TCGCCTCTATTAGCCACAAATCCATCAGTGACCTGAGAATTCTCATGAAACAGGCCTGGTATCCTGGTGATCTCGCATAACCAAGATGCCATCCCGTGGAGAGCCACATCCCCCCGGATGCCCTTGTCAAGTCAGCCTGTACAAACTATTTTGAATCTGTATGCCACTGGTTTGCATTGCTGGTCAAGAAGTCTCATGCTCTGCATAGGCCTGGTTGAGAATCGTGTTACACCAGTTCTTGCAAGAGTAGAGGAATCTAGAAGAACCAGCAATCAGTGTACTGTCCTGTCAAGATACACCTCAGTATTACCCTTCCCAACTGAGGCTGGGTGGGGCTAGCTCTCTCCAAAAGCACTGAAGTTTGGCTTCTGATGTAACTCAGAAGTTAGGAATCAGAAGCTACATCAAATAAGCTCTGAAACTCTGAAAAACATTGCAGGAAACGGTTGTGATGCCCATCATGGCACTTGAGAGATGCCTAACAAGGGTTACCAAAGCCGCAGACGAATAACCACTTATTCTTCAAGTTTCACCTAGAATATATTCATAACCTCAATAAAGTTCTACCTGCTCCCAAACTGGGTTGAATCATTCCACTCACACAGTCTCCCTCACCTCCATCGAATATGCACCTGCAACTCCGTCCCTGCCTCCAGCCAGTGAACGCACAGAATGAACTGTGGGGCATCTCAGCATCAGCTTAGGGCTGTCAGAAAAACCTGCCTTGCACTGGGACAGAGCTCAGTGCTTCAGTACACCTAGGATTACCCCAGTGACATGACAGGTAGAGGTGACAATGCCTTTTCAGTCTTTACCCAGAGAAAGGCTTCTTTGACACACTCCAGAATGGAAACTGAAGTATAGATAGGCAATCCAAGTCTCACTGTCACCCAGGCTGGAGTGCAGTGGCGCACTTTTTGCTCACTGCAACCTCCGCCTCCTGAGATCAAGCAATCCTCCTGCATAGCTGAGATTACAGGCACTTCCCACCACACCTGGCTAAATTTTGTATTTTTAGTAGAGACGGGGTTTTGCCATGTTGGCCAGGCTGGTCTTGAATTCCTGACTTAAAGTGATTCACCTGCCTCTGCCTCCTAAAGTCCTAGGATTACAGGCGTGAGCCACTGTGCCTGGCCACTACTCTTTGAGGAAAACAGTAATTTGCCCCTCTTGAAACGTGCCTGAGAGAGCTATACTCAAGTGGTCCACGGAGCAGGATCATGGCCATCATATGAGAGCCTATTGGAAATGCTGAGCATGGGCCGGGACCAGTGGCCCATGCCTGTATACAATCCTAGCACTCTGGGAGGCAGAGGCAGGTGGATCACCTGAGGTCAGGAATTGGAGACCAGCCTGGCCAACATGGTGAAAACCCATCTCTACTAAACACGAAAAAAATTAGCCAGGCATGGTGGCCCGTGCCCGTAATCCCAGCTACTCAGGAGGCTGAGGAAGCAGAATCGCTTGAACCTGGGAGGTGGAGGCTGCAGTGAGCTGAGTTCACACAACTGCACTCCAGCCTGTATGATGGGAGTGAGACTCGGTCTCAAAACAAAAAAAATGCTGAGTATGAGAAGGCTAGACCTCTGAACCAGCATTTGCATCTCCCAAGACCCCAGGTGATTCCTAAGTACATTCAAGCTCAGAACCCCTTTCTAACTGCTCCCTGATTAGGAGGCTGTCAGAGATTTTAGGAATCCAAGCTCTTGGTCACCTTGCCAGACCTACTCTGTCCAAGTATGATCCCAGCAATCGCGCAATTCTGATATAAAACCTGAGAACCACAGCCTTAGAACTGCTTCTGAACTGCTAACAGCAACCGAGAATGCTTGTTACATGCCTGACTCGCCGCCTTCCTCCTATACATACCCTTGAGCCCCTGGGAAATGGCGCATAGGTGGAAGAAGGGCGCTTCCTCGTACTTACCCACAGGGATCCAGGAGTTCCCATATGCAGACGTCGAGCTCATACTCCCAACCGATGTAACTGTTTATGCTCCTAGATTCAGATGAGTCAGGCTCCTCAAAATATTCCATTAGGTAGGATCCAAACAGACTGTGCGCCAGACGTACTGTAAAATGATACTAGAAGTGGGAGTAGAGGGTAGGGTTGCTAGATTTAGTAAACAGAAATACAAGATGCACAATCACTTTTGAATTTTCAGATATGCAAGGGATTTGGAGTTTTTTGTTTTTTTTTTGATACAGAGTCATTCTGTCACCTAGGCTGGAGTGCAGTGGCATGATCTTGGCTCACTGCAACCTCTACCGCAAGGGTTCAAGCGATTCTCATGCCTTACCCTCCCAAGTAGCTGGGGCTACAGTCATGTGCCAAGCCCAGCTAGTTTCTATATTTCTCATAAAGATGGGGTTTCACCATGTTGATCAGGGTGGTCTTGAACTCTTGACTTCAGGCGATCCACCCTGCTCGGCATCATAAAGGGCTGGGATTATAGGCGTGAGTCACAGTGCCCAGCCATGCAAGCAATTTTTTTAGTCTAAATATGTCCCGTGCAATATTTGGAGTATAATTCTAAAAAATAAGATTTTTCTGGGTGCAGTGACTCACCTGTAATCCCAGCACTTTGGGAGGCAAAGATGGGCAGATCACCTGAGGTCAGGAGTTGGAGACCAGCCTGACCAGCATGGCAAAACTCCATCTCTACTAAAAAGACAAAAATTAGCCGGGCATGGCAGCATGTGCCTGTAATCCCAGCTACTCTGGAGGCTGAGGCAGGAGAATCACTTGAACCTGGGAGACAGAGGTTGCAGTGAGCCGAGACTGCACCCCTGCAGAGTAGCCTGGGCAACAGAGTAAGACTCTGTCTTGCAAAAATGTTTATCTGAAATTCAAGTTTAACTGAGCATCCTGTGTTTTGTGTTTTTTTCTTTTATAATGATAGTTGACATTTTATTTTTATACTGAGACAGGGTCTGTTGTCCAGGCTGGAGTGCAGTGGTACAAACACAGCTCACTGCAGCCTCAACCTCCTGGGCTCAAATGATCCTCCTGCCTCAGCCCCCCCACACCCTCCAAGTAGCTGGGACCACAGGTGTAAGGCAACATGCCCAGCATCCCGTATTTTATCTGGAAACCTTAGTAGAGACGATACTTAAAAGGAAAACAAGCTTTCAAAGAGCTTCAGAATGGAATGAGAGCAAATACCTTTTACATGTCAGTGATAGCAGAAAACGTACCTAGCTTTATAGATAGAAGAAACCTGAGATCACCCAAACCACACAGCTCAGGAAGTGGTCACACAGGTAATGACCAAGGAGTCAGGAGCGAAGCTTCCCACAGGCCCCACTCAGACCAAAGCTCTTTCCAGCAGGTTGTCTTACGTGAACCTTGGCAGAATTCAACCTTAGATTTCAACACACAGATTTGTAAAAACCTACCTTGAAATCTCGAACCCAGTTTTGAGGCTCGAATTTCTCGGAAAATACTATTAAGTCTAGCTCAACTGTCCCAACCTTTTCAGCACCAGGGACAGGTTTCATAAAGAATTTTCCCACGACGGAAGGGAATGGTTTTGGGATGAAACTGCCACTCAGGTCGTCAGGCATTGGATTCTCATAAGGAACATGCAACGTAGATCCCTCAGTGCGCAGTCGCATGTATGAGAATGAACGCCAAGTGGAGCTCAGGTAGTCGTGTTCACTCACCTGCCGCTTACCTCCTGCCACGATGCCCAGTTCCTGACAGGCCGCGGAACAGTAGGATTAGTACCCGTCCTAGGCCTGGGGATCAGGGACCCCTGGTCTGGCTGTATTCCACGTGGCAAGTTATCTTGGCTGGTAACAAATATGTCCAGGGCGAAGCCTCAGATGAACCAATTAACTGAAGTCTCCCTGGGCCCAAACTAATTTTGCTATCAGTGGTCACAGAAAGAAAGTGTGTTTACAACAATGCAAATCTAACGTTACAAATGGGATGATTAAGCCAGCATCCACGACGGGCTGCAGAAGAGCCGACTATATACTACGAACACCTGTAGCATTAATGGCTTCTAGAAAGTACTGAATGCCATAGTGCACTGATTCTCAACCCGAGGGTCCACAGCCTTCCTTTCCATGCTGAGCACCTCAGTGACAGCACATCACAGGCTCTGCCACACTGGGGTAGAGGGGAAGATCAAACTCCAAGCAGCAGAGAAGTACCATTCTGCTCCCAAGACAATCACCTGAAGACAGCTTTTGCCTGTCTTAAGACTTGAATACTTTTAAAAAAGAAAAGCTGCTGTGGGGGACATAAACCTTAAAGTTTCTTTTGACATACAGTCTCCCTCTGTCATCCAGCGTGGAGTGCAATGGCATGATCTTGGCTAACTGCAACCTCCACCTCCCAGAATCAAGCAATTCCCCTGCCTCAGCCCCCTGAGTAGCTGGGATTACAGGCGTGTCCCACCATGCCCAGCTAATTTTTGTACTTTTAGTAGAGACAGGGTTTCACCATGTTAGCCAGGCTGGTCTCGGAACTCCTGGCCTCAAATGATCCACCTGCCTTGGTCTCCGAAAGTGCTGGGATTATAGGCGTGAGCCACCGCACCCACCTAATTTTTGTATTTTTTCAGCAGAGATGAGGTTTCGCCGTGTTGGCCAGGCTGCTCTCGAACTGCTGACCTCAAGTGATCTGCCTGCCTCGGGCTCCCAAAGTGCTGGGATTACATGCATGAGCCACCATGCTGGGCCACCAACTCCATTCTTGAGCTCCATCTTTCCCACAGGCAGGCAGGCAGGCTTTCAAGTGAACTGTACTTGACAAATGCAGAGCAATTACATTCTTTATTATNGATGACTTTACAATTAATCAACTGTATGGGGGCATATTTTCTTTTCTTTCTTTCTTCTTTCTTTTTTACCATGAGCAATTAAATTCTTTATTATACAAATCTCAAAAATGTCCACCTTTGCTGGAGGCCAATCTTGTAAAATGGGGTCAAAGGCAATCCTGCTGTTTCTCTCTGAAAGCTAAACTCTCTTTGAATGAAAAAATCATACTAGAACACCCAGAATTTTATTCCCAGGCTTCGTAATGCAAAAGGCAGTTGGCCTCCTTAGGAAACATGAAAGTATTACCCAAACCACAAATATTTCTATCAACTCCATTCAATCCAATGAAAGAAAACAAAATGATAAAAATAGGAACTGAACAGAAAGAAAATTCATTTTCTACGATTACCATTCAAAGGTTGCTTCAAATTACTTTTAATTATCGTTCTAGCCAGGATCACACTAAATAAGACCTCATGACAGTCCCATATGCAGCCACTTGAACTAAAGCGTGGTGCAGAATGCGCTGCCACGAGCCACAGGCAGCACAGCCGTCACCTCCCCCAGCACAGGTCGCTGCGGTGAGCCGCCCTTTCCTTTTGTGTTTATATTCTTCTCAACTGCATTTCAGTTTCCTAAAGGTCCCAGCCACACAAGAGTTCTTTGAGGGATTAAAGTAAGAGGAAAAAAAATAGAAGCCAACATCCATCCTCGAAGAAAAAAAGTAAATCCATTTCATGGTGAACTTCAGCTTCCTGACAAATTTGAGATCAGTGTTCTCCAGTCTGAACATAGTCTTCCGTGACCTGGGAGAGTGTGGTCAGGTACTGCCAGCTCAGGGCGGCCAAGAGCATGACAAAGGACAGATAGATGGGGGAGTAGTGGCTTCGGGAGATCAGCTGACAGTTGGGAAGATTCTGCGTCCGGATGGTGGAGATGATCTGCCTCGTTTTACTGGAAGATGGGTCTGAGTCAGGGATTCTATGGTAAATCTGTCGAACGTACAGGAAAATACGGTAAGTGCTGTGTGCTTTACATTTTCCATGGCTACTTACAACAACCCTCCACTGGGAGGTATTTTATGCCCATTTTACCAACGAGGAAAGGGAGGCTCAGAAAGTAACTTTCCCAAAGCCACCCCAATGGGAAGACGGGGATGTCAGCCCCAGCCTGCTCATC